TTTTTCCCACACCTCCTTTTAGTGTTTTTCGTTAAGTTTGTCATCATTTCCCTTCTTTAGTTACACCTTATTTGTCTTATTTGTACGTTTTTGTTCTTCATACCCCACGTAGTTACACAATCCTCTTCTATTTTTATGCATTTTTATACATCATTTTTCTAAGCCAGTTTACCTAAACTGGCCACCGTAATGAGTTCAAAAGCTGACTTTTCGAACGTTAACGTTAACCCTTCGTTAACCCCCTGGCGAGGGGCTAACGCTCGAAATGTAAGCTTTTAAATATTTACGGTGGCCTATTTACGATATCAACACTCCCCATCGACGCAGCACCACAGTTTCTATAGAAAATAACCCCCCTTATTCAATTTACGTAAAGTTGCGTTTGGTGCAGTACTCTTTCTAAAAGTTTTCTTTAATTTTTCGTTTCGTTTTGTATTTATTTTTGTTCGTAATTTATTTATCCTAGTTAACTTAACTGTTATTTTACATGTTTTTAGTCTCAACCTGCTGCTGTGTGTTAGCTGTGAAAATAAAAACTCTGAGTGAAAAACATAACTCTTTTACTGTTCCAGGGGGGTTCAAATCAATCTTGTATCGACCTTTGGGCGAAAAATAAAGAAATAATAAAAAAATAAATAAAAAAAAAAAAACGCAGCAGAACTTAAACAAAACAGATCAAAAAAAATTCAAAATAATACAAAATAAAAGAACACGAAACACAATACAGAACCGAACAGCATAAAAGCAATGGCCAAACAATGGGTTTGTTTGAAACTGGTCACCAAAAGAATCAGTTCTTCGTGGGTTTACTACCTTTTCCTCTGCTTAAAAATTATTGGCCGACGGCAAAATGAATAAGATTATACAATAATGTTCACTGAGCTTGAGGCGAATCATTATTGTGGTATAATTGCGAAGAATCTTTCGAATTCTGTTGTAAATTCTGTAAATAAAGCTATTATTGCTATAATTGTGGTGATTATGCGTATCATTGTAAGCTTCTCTCTTTTAAAAAGTGTTCCGTCAAACTCAATAGCAAATTTTGTGCTCTTCGCAATTGTATTTTCTTCTAACACGTTTACCACTTCCGCAGAAACATTAACAAAACGCGAGGCAACCACTTTGCGATTTAGCACCCCTGCTATAATTACCTCGTACGAGGTGATTACAGCGAGATATGACGCAAACCTCGACCGATCAGATGGCGCTAGCATATTATACTGATACGTAACATTGTAACAGCGGTTTCGTAGATGACGTTATTTATCGCACACTCAACATCAAGAGGACACAGGACCTTAACCAAGTAATCACTCTATTTTGGAACTGCTGATTAAGTTTCGTTGGATCCATTCACGACCTTTCGGTTCTTTTTTTTCTTTAAATTTTTTTGGACTGTGATCTCCAGTTTGGTGTATAGCCGGAGCTTACTTTTTAGCTTATTCCTGCTGAAAATCTTTTGGAGTTGGGGCGATTTGTTAAAATGATTATCTATTGCAAATGTAATCCTATGAGTTCGTGACATTTCTTTTAATTGTC